TAATTAGTTTTTGTTCCATGTTTCTGAAATACTTATTTTAAAAAGAGCCAAAAATATGATTCTCTATAGCACTAATTTTTAAAAAGTTACTGCCCTGCTTGCATAAAATGTAAATATTGAGTAGTACTACTTGCAGCTTAATGACACGTTCTAACTGGATATCAGCTTTTCATAACTGCCAAGTCGTGTTTCTCATCTTTCTTCATTGAAGTGGCACTGCCTACTCATCAATTAAAAATAATGCTGCTCGGATCATAAACATAATGAAAAAGAGTCATCAGTTTGCCAGACCCTGAAACAGATTCCCATTGAAGTACAGCTTTGGTCATCTGCCTTCTGAAGCCGGACAAATGATGAATTCTCAGTGCTGGGCGTAACTGTTAACCTCTGGGTCTCGGAAGGACTCATGGACTGGGATAAACCCATTCGGTCTTACCCTACACACCTGAGCCCTCCCAGACAAGATGCTCCTGGCTCTCAGCGAGTCTCACTGAGCCTCTCACCCCTGCAATGCCGCCCCTCCAACACCCTTGGCCGTCTCTCCTGCCCAGGTACCTCAGCCCAGGTGTATGCTGCCTACAGTGGGGCCTCACTGCCTGCACAAGCATAGTGCACGACTTTCAATGACCTGCTTCCCAAGTAGCTCAGGTATGCCCCACCTTGTCCCACTGGAGCCTGAGTGTCCTAGAGCAGCCGTCTCCAACCCTGGGCACACGTGAGAACCCCCAAGAACCCAAGTAACAGTATTTCCTGAGCTCCCCAGGTGATACTAACATGCAACCAGAATGGAAACCCCCAGGTGAAGAGGGCAGGCCTGAACCTGCCACACCCTTGCCCCCATCCCCCACCTAACCACAGCGTAGGCACTCTGTGGTTCACAGCTTTCTGGAGCCAGTCAACACCCTGATGCCTGAGTCCACCCTAGAGATTCCAATCTGCTTCACGGGCCCAGATACAAGGATCTGGAAAAGCTCCCCAGGAGCGCCCTGGGATTCAGGGAATGACAAAGAGGCACCCTTAATTGGAGAGACCCCTTCCCTGCTGAGTTCCCACCCCCCAACCATTCTCCCAAATGTTCTTGTAACCTGTGAGAGATGGGAAAGTTCTTCTTGGTTTGTATCTTAGACTACATTATAAGGAGGTACGATCTCTTGCTCGATGGCCATTATCCGCTATTAACATAAACATATAGCCATGTATATATATTCTCTAAATCAGCTACCCTGACTCGCTCCAGCATGTCTGAACGGGACTGGGCAAGCTCCAAACCCTGGCGCCTGCCATTCCTAATTTGGAAACCCTCCTGACCTCCTGACTAGCCTCCTCTTCTCCCTCATCTTCTTTCCCCATCTATTCAGGAAATTTCCAGGTTTTCAACTAATCAGGTCAAGCACAGAATGTGAGGTCCCGTTCTAGCCAATGGAAACCAGACACAGCAGAAGGATGACTGCATCAGGTTATGAAAGTTCTAAATGTCCCTGTCTCCCTTGAGTAGCTGTGCTCTCGTGGCAAGGCTGCCGGCGAGTTGCACCCTTCCTGCAGGAAGTAAACTAGCCTTGCTGAGTGATGCACTGTCTCCGTGTGGATTCTTCCCGATGTTATAAACCCATTTCCAGCATAACCCCAGTACCTGCAGAGGGCCTGGCTGAGGGCAGATGTGTGGGCAACACATGCTCAGGGATGGGAGACTGGCATCGTGTGCTGTGCTCCCCAAATCTCTACTCTTACAGAAGGCCCAAAGCCACGGTGCAGCAGGACTGTGCCTGGGGAGCTGGATGGCATCAACACTCACCAGCACAGGGCATGGAGCGTGGCAAAGGCACAGTGAGCACTTGTTCCAGAAAAAGAACCAACGCTTGCTCCCGACTCTAGCTGCCAGGGTCCTCTCACTCCAGCCCTGTAGCCTTTGGCCCCTCAACTCCCTTCCCTGTCCCTCCCCAGTTCTTCCTGTCCCAGCCCTAGTCCCCTCCCAAGAGCCAGCTGGGAGCAGCCTCCCCTCAACCATTACTGCTCCTCTGAGCCAGACACTGGGCAGGAACTGCCTGGTCCCCGAGTTACCTGCCACAAGCCTGTCCATGAGAATCTCTGAGTGCATGGTCTGACACAGGGCAAGCATACAGTGAGGGACAGACACAGGGCAGCAGTGCATTGGGGGCACAGAAGTAAGATCCCAAGAGAACAGGCTCCTCTTGGGACAGAAAAAGGCAGGCCCTCTACTGTCTGTTCTGCGGGCCCCAGGGGATGACTTGGTCTTCTTCCCTGCACCCAACACAGTGACACGTTCACATGAATGAGTGAACCAAGGGCTCCTTTAAGGCTCTACTCTTCCAGAAACACAGGCTCATCACTCCCCACTTAAATCCTTCAGGATAAAACCCAAGCAACGGGGCGGGTAAGGCGGGCAGCAGGGCAGCTGTCACCCGGCCTCCGCTTGGGCCCCTCCACCCCAGCCTTTGCTCCTGCTCGTCCCACCACTACTGCGTGCCCCAGCTCTTATGGCCTCCCCACTTCCCACTACCAGAGAGAACACTAACATCCCTTTTGAAACAACACATAAGATGCCACCTTCCCCAAGAAGGCCTTACCTGGCATCCTCATGAACCCCTTCTAAGCACCCCACATTTGGAAGGACAAAGCTTTGCTCCCTAACATTTATTTTCTACTCATCTGTCAATCCAAGCCCAGAGGGGGCCAAGAACCGCCGCGTTCAACTCTGTCCCTCGTGACTGCAGGTCTCCACTCCCTCCCGTCCTTCCCCACCTGCCACGGCCTTGCATATCCTGGTGTGAAGTCTGCTCTCGGCAGAAGCTGCCCCTCAGCACTGAATTGCTCCAGACACTGTGGGACTCCTCCACCCCTCGCTCCACACGTGCATCCTGTCCCTGCTACAGTATGCAGTGCCGGCCTCCACCAGTGCCGTCCCACCGCAAGTCTGCAGTGCCCCGACCTCCTCGTCATGGCAGGCTAGTGTCTAGTTCATCTGTCTCCCAAGCAGAGGCCCCTGCAGCTGCAGGCAACGACGGTTAAAGGACTACATGTGTTTTTCCCTTCATGAGAGAAAGCCCTGAGAATGCCCGGGCTTTCTCTTGTGAAAGGAAAATATCTTGGTTCCCAAGATCACGAAAAACAACTCAAGCTGGAAAGTGCTTAGAGCAAGCACGCCTCCTATTCTATTCAGATCAGTCCCCTGCTCACTAGAGACAGATGCACATCTGACGTGCCTCCCTTGGAAGGGCTAATCAGAAACTCAAAAGAATGGAACCTTTGTGTATCACCTACATGACCAGGAAGCCCCCTCTCCGCTTCTGACATACATGGGTAGATGTCTCTTGTCTCCCTAAATGGATAAAACCCAGCTGTGCCCTGACCACCTTGGGCACATGTCACCAGTGCGTCCTTGACCTTGGCAAAATAAGCTTTCTAAATCACCTGGGACCTATCTCAGGTTTCCTGGGTTCATACTGTCACTTGCATCGCCAGGATTCCTGGCTCAGACTCCACCTACACCCACCTGCCCTCCTGTCCACAACCAGCAGAGGGGGGCTGTCTGTCACCTCCCCTTCTGCCCCTCTGTCCACTGAAACCAGAGTGTCCATTTCCACATCAACCCCTGTGCTATACACATCGGCGAAGCAGAACCATGACCCGCAGAGACAGAACTAGAGAGAAAGACCAGCATAAAGTAACTCACGAGACTTTCCACCTAGACACAGCACATCCTTAATAAACATAAAACTGAAATTAGGATTCTCATCAAAACTTCCTACAAATCAACCTGAAAAGTTTGCAACCTATCTTCAGGGATGTTTAGAAAACTGGGTATAAACTAGAAAACTAGGTTAAAATAAAAAAGCACAAAACAAAAATATAAGCAATCGCAGCAAGCCTAATTTTAATTGCCAGAGAATATTTAATCAATAAATATTCACTGTTCAGAACTGCATCTGCATTTAGGATTACGAGGTGCTAAGCTGCAAATGAGTCTTTATGAAGACTCATTAGCCAGAAAGAGTCTTTTAAATACTAAAAGTCAAACCCAATTTAGAGTCAACACTCAGAGCTCCCTATTGACTTAGCTCCGAAAATAACGAACAAGGAAAAGAGAAGAAAACTGCCTGTAAAGCATTCTGAAATGGTCGGCAGGGCACCCCTGCCTGCCCGGACCTTTCCCAGAGGGCACCCAAACAGGCAACTCAGTGCCAGGGCTGAGGCGGCCACAACGCCACCCTCCACCACAGAAACACGGACTTCTCTCATCCACTTTTGTCTTTTCCTAACAGCACTACTAATACTTTAAAAAAGAAAGAAAAGACCGGGTGCGGTGGCTCACACCTGTCCTCCCAGCGCTTTGGGAGGCCAAGGTGGGTGGATCATGAGGTCAAGAGAGCGAGACCATCCTGGTCAACATGCTGAAACCCTATGTCTACTAAAGATACAAAAATTAGCTGGGCGTGGTGGCACATGCCTGTTATCCCAGCTACTCGGGAGGCTGAGGCAGGAGAATTACTTGAACCGGGGAGGCAGAGGTTGCAGTGAGCAGAGATTGCACCACTGCCCTGCAGCCTGGTGACAGAGCAAGACTCTATCTCAAAAAAAAAAAAAAAAAGTGATCAAACATATGTCCTTGTTTTCAACATATTTGAAACAAATTTAAAACATATTTCCCTGTTTGAACTGCTTGAAGTTGAAATAACCATCTCTGCTCTGCTGAAACCTTTCCATATCACAGCCTGGAACATATAAAGACTTTCTAATAAAACGTGAGGAAAAACGACAGTTGTCATCATTTTTACTTGTCCTTGTCTTCTGCCAGGCCTGTCAAACCAAGCTTAAAATTAAGCCAAGAATGGAAAGTGTCAGCTTAGCCACGGCAAAGACCTTGACTGCTGTGCAACAAAGCCAGGGCAAACCCAGGGGTGGCTGGCAGGCCCTACTCAGGCCAGATCCTGCAGTCCCTGCGCACAGGGAGGCGCGCTGATGGGCGGCTTGGTGGCACTTACCGAGAGGAGCTTCCACGTCATCGGACGCACTGGCTTAGGGATTCCGGACCAGCTCAACCTCCGTAATTCCTCTGTTGATGAAAGGAAGGGACAAGGAAAAGAAGATTTAGAGAAGGTTCGCAAACCTCCCCCGTGCTTTCACACATTCCACCTGGTTCATTAGGAGGCAATGAGACCCACAGACAAATTAAACTAAATACCAACATTCCAGATACCAAGTGTTTTCAATATCTAAGAGAAGGTAAATTACCATTCTTTTCAAACAAGCTACAGGTCAGCGGGGTACATGTTTGGAAAGGCATCCCCAGTGTCCCTGGAGCTACCCTGGGACAGGTGAGGCCCCATGACCCCTCCTCCTCCAAGCAGGGAAATCCAGAGGACACTGGCCTCCCTCCCTCCCTTCCCCCTTCTCTCTCCCAAAGGAGGCTTTTCCCCACTACCTGACCATGTGAATTGGTTTTCCTTTCTTTCATCCATCTCACTCTCCGTTTGCTATTTAAGCGTATCTATATGACGCGGTTTTTCTCACTATTGGTTTTGAAAGAAACTGTTTCATGGAGATAAGCTTGTCTTTATATAGCATTAATTAAGGATATGACCATATTCTACCCGGACAACAAAGTCTTCAAGGTAATCTAACACAAGTCAATGAGGCTTTATAAATACCTACAAGTAGAAAAGAATCACGAGAGGGGTGGGGCTGGCCAGAGGCTGCGGGGTCCGGGAGCAAGGTCCAGCACCTCCCAGGGCAGGGCAGGGCAGCGCGGGGCAGCGGGGTAAGGAGAGCGGGCCTGCATTCCATCGACCTCCGTGTCTCCTTGAGTGTCTCATTCCCATGCCCTGGATGGCTAGAGAATCCATTTCAATTTGTAGGTAAATCAACACTTGTCCAATCCCACTGAAACTCAAGTAATTATTTCTTTCCTTTAAGTTAGGAATGTACCATTCGGTCCTCTCCTAACAGCCTGGAGCTAATGATTAATAACAGGAATAAAAAATGATTAAAGAGAAGACTCTGCTAATATAATCAACAAAAGACAAAGCCCTGACATCTCATCTTTTTCCAATTACCGCAGTCTAAGTAAAATAACTATCAGAATAACTGCGCGACTGTCGCGGCAATAACCTGCATTTTACACAATCTCAGAAAATATCCAATCTTCCCCAGCACCCTAAGGACATTATGAAAAGCAGGAGCCTCATATCTGAACACCAATAATGCAATGTTTACCAACCACGTGCCCAGTGCCTCTCCCTCGGCATAACTCTGGTTTCTGATTATGCTTTATGAGAAAAAGCTGAGAGGAAACTCATTTGCTAATGTTCTCTGAACCTGTCTCCTCACTGGAAGAAATTCACAAAAATTCAAAAATCTTGACTATCTATGAGAGAAGGTTCTAACCCCGCTTACGCGTTGGTGTTAAAAGAGCTTTCATACGCATTATCTCACTGGGTCCTCAAAACACTGTGTTACTTAGGGCTGTGATAACGATTGTATTTGAAAGAAATCAGCTCACAGAGGTGAAATGACCTAACCAAGGTCACACAGGAACTAAGCAACCTTCAACGACAAGGTCTTTCCACGACATCACAGCCACGGGAACATTCAAAAATCGATAGCACTTCTCTCCCAGCAAAAAGAAAGTAACATGGGCGTAAACTTCACAAGAACAGTGCAACACCACAGGAAGAAACCTGCACGTCTTCGCCTGACGACTCACATAAACAGGAGGAAACACCACGCTCACTGACGCCAAAGTCTATTTCAGAAGCTCTTCCTCTCGGCCAGGCTCTAGGCTAGGAGTGGCGGAATTACCAACGTGAGCAACACCAAACACAGCCCCCGTGCTGGACAGCTTGTCTGGGCTTAGAGTCCCCTGTGCTTCCAGATCCGCTCCGTGCTTGGAGGGCTCACCTGTGCTTAGAGGGCCTCCTGTGTGTTAAGGCTCACCTGCACTTAAAGAGCCTTCCGTGCTTAGAGGGCCCATCTGTGCTTAGAGAACTCACTTGTGCTTAGAAGAGTTCACCTCCCATTCCAAGGAAGAGCAAAAGTAAACTTACAGCTCGCCCGAGTGCTCAGATGAACAGGCAAAGCATGCCCCGAAACTGCTGATGGGGAAGTTTACCTTGTTAGGAAGGTCAGGGCGGTTTCCCTGAGGAAATGACCGTGGAGGTAAGAGCTAAGGATGAGCAGGAATTAAACGGGTGAAGAGGGAGGCCAGTGGGGAAGGCAGTGTAAGCCCAGAGAACAGCTAATGCACAGCCTGGACTACCCTGGAGAAGAGACTGGAGGGGCCGAGAGTGGTCACAAGGAGACCACCTAATGAACTACTTACTCGGCAAGCCCAGCGTAGGGGTGATGATGGCAGTGGAAGAAAGGCAATGACCAAGGAGATACTTGGGAGCTAAACGCAAGAAGAATCGAACAATAAACTGGATAGATACATGGCTCTAAGACTGAAAATTCTAATGCTGTCCAGTGTCACTTTGAAAACCTGCAAGTTCAGTGCAAACCCAGTCAAAAGTCCAGTGGGATATACTTCTGTGTAAGTTGACCCTACGTTCACCTGGAATTTGAACTGGCATACGAAGAGCCAGTAACATTCCCAAAAGGAATAATGTGAAGAGACTCGCATTAACAGATAAGAAAGACATATCATGGAACTACAGGAATTAAGACAGTGGGGTCTGACAGAGACTAAGAAATCAATGAAGGCCGGGCGCAGTGGCTCACGCCTGTAATCCCAGCACCTTGGGAGGCCGAGGCAGGTGGATCACGAGGTCAAGAGATCGAGACCATCCTGGTCAACAAGGTAAAACCCCGTCTCTACTAAAAATACAAAAAAAAAAATCTGCTGAGCATGGTGGCACGTGCCTGTAATCCCAGCTACTCAGAAGGCTGAGGCAGGAGAATTGCCTGAACCCAGGAGGCAGAGGCTGTGGTGAGCCGAGATCCCACCATTGCACTCCAGCCTGGGTAACAAGAGCGAAACTGTCTCAAAAAAAGAAACAAATCAATGAAACACAATGAATGGTTCAAAACCAGGCCTATGCACTTATGAGCACTTCGTTATGATAAAAAACAGCATTTCAAATCGGGGCAGTCAATGATGATGGCCCCACAATAAGGTAAAAGGAAGTTAGACCGTGTATCTTACCACACAAACTTCCAGACTCTTACAGAGCTAAACGAGTGGGTGAATGAGTGTGTGTCTGCGTGTCCAGGGAAGAGTAAAAACGCCGGAAGAAACCATTCAGGTTGGGAAAGGGCCTTCCTAAGCAAGATGCAAATCTGTAAGTAACAGTATTAACAAATTAGCTACATAACAGGTTGGAAATGACTGTACAGTGAAGGACATACGATATGTAACCAACGAACAACAGACTGAAAACTACCCGCCACATATACCAACTAATGCACAAAGAGCACACAGAACAGAAGGAGATGTACAGTTTCAACAGCCTGGGAAATACACAGAAGAGGACATGGAAACGGCTAGTAAACATATTCTGTAAAAGACACGTAACCTCAGGCTGGGCACAGCGGCCTGTGTCTGCAATCCCAACACTCTGGGAGGCTGAGGCGGGCCTATCACTTGAGCCCAGGAGTTGGAGACCAGCCTGGGTAACATGGCGAAACCCAGTCTCTACAGAAAAAAAAAAAAAATTGGCCAAGCATGATGGTGCATGCCCCTAGTCCCAGCTACTCATGGGGCTGAGGTGGGAGAATCAATGGCGCCTGGGAGACTAAGGCTGTAATGAGCCATCATCATGTCACTGCACTCTAGCCTGGGCAACAAAGCCAAACCCTGTCTTTAAAAAAAAAAGACACATAACCTCAATAGTGATTAATCAACAACAAGTTAAAACAAGAAATCTGTCAAATTAGCTGGATAAAACTTTTAATGAATGACAACACCTAATATTGGTAAGAATTTGGATACGCAGCCACTCTCTCACAGTTTGGTAAAAGTGTATATTGGCATAGATTTTTTTGTTGGTCAAATTTCAAAAGTACATAAGTACCTTTGAGCAGCAATTCTTTTTTTTTGAGATGGAGTCTCGCTGTGTCCCTCAGGTTGGAGTGCAATGGCGCGATCTCAGCTCACTGCAACCTCTGCGTCCTGGGGTCAGGTGATTCTCCTACCTCAGACTCCCGAGTAGCTGGGATTACAGGTGCGTGCCACTGTGCCCTGTTAAGTTTTGCATTTATAGTAGAGACAGAATTTGGCCATGTTGGCCAGGTTGGTATTTCTACAAAACTACCAAGTTTCCGTGACACTGCCACTTCAATCTCCGATTGGTCAAATTCCATCCAGCTCTCTGGGCCCATCACAAATCCTGCCACATCTAAGATGCCGTCCTGACAACTACAGGCCTCACTCACTTACCTCTTCTGTGAGCTGCAATGACAGGGCTGTGTCAGGAGTGCCAGTCTTGACGTCTAGAAGTAATGTATGTGCTCCAGAAGGTCAGGCTCCACTACTGCCTGTCTCCAGTTAAGTGCTGGAGAGAATTCCCCATCCTTTCCTCCTCCCCTTTAGAGATTTGTTTGTTCGTTGGGGGATGTGATATTTTTAAATCACAGGATAGTTTATATACAATAAACATATTGCTAGGCTGGGCACAGTGGCTCACGCCTGTAATCCCAGCACTTTGGGAGGCTGAAGCAGATCACCTGAGGTCAGGAGTTCGGGACCAGCCTGGCCAACATGGTGAAACCCCATTTCTACTAAAAATACAAAAATTAGCCAGGCGCCATAGCTGGCACCTGTAGTCCCAGCTACTTGGGAGGCTGTGACAGGAGAATCATTTGAACCTGGGAGGCGGAGGTCACAGTGGGCCGAGATTGCACCACTGCACTCCAGTCTGAATGACAGAGTGACACTCCATCTCAAAAAAAAAAAAACAAGTACTGCTGACATAGAACATTTCTATTGCCCTTTTCTAGTCATTCTTAGCCCCCACTCCAAGTTAACTGCCTTCTGATATCTATCACCAAAGAATGGATTTGTCTGCTCTTGCAATTCATGTAAGCAGTACAAACAGGCCGGGCGCAATGGCTCCTGCT